ACACACACACACACATATTGTATGTACTTTATGTATATGTGTGTTTGTGTGTTTACAATATATGTATTCCAACAGAATCAGCATTAGCTTTTCTCTTCTCTTTATAAAAAAATAATACAGATGTTTATTTATAAAATATAAATCATTTTTTAAGCCAAAGCTATTTGCATTTCGAAAAGAAAATAGTACAAGATCCAATAGCATTTCTAATTTTTCTTTGATTTTATTCCAAGTACAACTGAAACTTGTTTTAGGAGTTTGAATACAAACAAGTAGAAAGGAGCCAAATCTGACAGGGGTGCTCTTGGTTCATTCTGAAATTCAAATATAAAGTCACTGTTAATACTGTTGACTGTCCAGAGAGTGGGATAATGTTATCATCAATAATATTGGTATCTCAATAACTAAAGAAATATTGGAGCACTTTGGTTGATTGAATAAGTATCAATAGCTTTTGATATGTGGTGATTGCAGGCTATGAACCCAGTATTTGACATGAACAAAACTATGTAGCTACTGGTGAAAAATAAATTGATTGCATGAGATCTAACTCCCATATCATACTAAACAGCAGAGCAGTTTATTCCAATTTGACTTAGTGCTTTGTATGAACCAGTTGATGAATAACAAGCGGGTTACAGCAGTACTTTTAGAGCTTTTCCCTTTATAGCTCAAAACTATTTATCAGAAACTCTCATTGGATCAGTTCTAATTCCCTTCTTTCAACACCGCTATACAGTGATCTTCAATTTACAACCATTCATTTAGTGACATTTGAAGTTACAACAGCACTGAAAAGAGAGACTTAGGGCCATTTTTCACACTTACGACCACGGTAACATCCCCATGGTCACATGATCGAACTTTGGATGCTTAGCAGCCGACTCATATTTATGATGGTTGCAGACTCATATTTATGATGGTTGCGTCATGTGATCCCCTGTTGTGACCTTCAATGGGGAAGCCAGGTTCAATTAACAGCTGCAGTGATTCAGTTAACAACTGTGGCAAGAAAAGTCGTAAAATGGAGCAAAATTCACTTAACAAATGTCTCTCATAGCAACAGAAATTTGGGCACCAATTGAGGCCTAAATTAAAACTCAATGAAAAACAATACAGAGGCAGTCAAGAACATTAACAAGCACTAATATATCACTTATGTCACAAGTGCCATTAACTTCCCAACTACCCAGGAAAGCAGTCCTGTTTTTAAGGCTTTCCCAAATGTTAGTCAAGTCAGGGCTGGCTTGATTTGGAGGGATGTGATGTTCCATAGGGTAGGGAATGTCACAGAAAAGGCCTTAATTGGGTATATTTAAACTTTAGCTCTGTCAATTATAGGTTATTCAATACAGCAACCTTTCGGCTCTGTAAATGAACCAGCTTATGTGACTATGTTTGCCCAGATGTGCTTGGCTTTTGAACTTCTATCTGCTGTACTTATGCTATTGATCTCCCTTCTGCATCCTAGTGCCTTCCAGATGTTATTCAGGGTTAATAGTTCTCAGATATTTATTTGTTTATTTATTTATTACATTTTTGTCCTATCTTCATTAATGTATAAGTAACTCAAAATGGCAAGCATACATAGTACTTCTTTCTCCTCCTCTTTTCCCTATAACAACAACCCTGTGAGTTGGGTTATGTTGGGGAAGAGTGATTGGCCCAAAGTCACCCAGTCTCTTTCATGTCTAAGATGGAATTCTAACTCACAGACTCCAGGTGATTGGCCCAAAGTTACCCAGCCAGCTTTCATACCTAAAGTGGAACTAGAACTCCCCGTCTCCTGGTGATTGGCTCAAAGTCACCCACCCTGTCTTTGATGTCTAAGGTGGAATTAGAATTCATCATCTTTGGGTGATTGGCCCAAAGTCAACAGCTGGCTTTCACGCCTAAAGCTGGATTAGAACTCACTGTCTCCTAGTTTCTAGGCCAGTGGTTCTCAACCTGTGGGTCAGGACCCCATTTGGGGTCGAACGACCATTTCACGGGGTTCGCCAAACAACGCAGTCCGCCATTTTTTTTCCTCTTTTCCTTAGCTGTGCTACTCCCTTTTATTCTATTGGCTTTTGAAAGCCAATAGATTAGTCTCTCTTGAATAGAGTCTAATTCTATTGGCTTTCAAAAGCCAATAGGAATTGTCCAGGCTGTCTCTGCCCTGCTGAGCCCGCCAAAAGTCCCATTCTGCAAACGGTGCTGCACCAGTTGAGTAGTCCTCGACTTACGACCGGTTGAGTAGTCCTCGACTTACGACTGGTTGGGGGTCGCGGCATTAAAAAGGTTGAGAACCACTGTTCTAGGCCAATACATTTACCACTATCCCAAACTGGCTGTCCTGGGAGTTGTAGTCTCCAGACATTTGGAGGACATTCTGCTGGAAAACTTGAAGGGACATTGCCATAAGGAGCTATCAGTGATAAGAAACCACGAGATTTCAGGAAGGCTGAAAAAAATGGCCTGCCCCCAAAGTTTCTGTCTCTTGTGAAACATATTATAACACATAACTGGCAGGATGCATGCATCTATGACACACTTTTCCTGACTCACTGACTGGATGCATTCCTGATGGATCTAACTTCACTGCCATATTCTCCTGTCCCTGTATTTTTTTGCAAAGAGAAAATGGGGCGGGGGTTGCCAAGATAGTGCAGTTGAAGCTTTGCCTGGTTTATAGCCAGGATGCAAATAAAAACTAGGGAAAGGTTGGATTCTGTTGTCTTGACTTCTTGACCTACTCTAAGGACATCACTGAAACAGGACTAAGGTCCTGGTAGCTTGTTCAGTGGATTTTGTTAGAACTACAGCAGGGTCTCCAGGGAAGGCTAACCAAGGACATGTGTCTTGAGCTAGTCTTGCACACTAACTTAGCTTGACATCTTTCAACTGATTCCTGCAGCCATGTCCATGTATATGTGCTTATAGCACCTCCATGTATATGTGCTTATAGCACCAAGCAAAGCTTTAAACTCAGACCGTTACAGATATAAGAGTAAGGCAGTTTGATTGAAAAAAAAAAAACCTCACAATAAAGCAAATAATGCCTTAATGTAGGGTTTCCACAGGTACGTCTTGACTTACAACCATTTGAAGTTACAATGATGCTGAAAAAAGTGACTTATGACCAATCCTCACATTTATGAACTTTGCAGCATCCTTACAGCGGCAACTGGCATTTCCAATGGTTGCTGCATCTTGGGGTCATGTGATCATCATTTGTGACTTTCCTTCCTGGCTCTGATAAGCAAAATCAATAGAGAAAACCAGATGCACAACAACCACATGATTCACTTAATAAATGCAGTCATTTGCTGAACAGCCATGGCAAAAAAAAAAAAGTTGTAAAATCGAGTGTGACTTATTGCCTTCTTTGATTAAGATTGCAAATTCTGGTCTGGATTGTGATCATAAGCAAAGTCTATTATATATACATGGGCCACCAAAATTCTGATCACTAGGTGGCAGCAAAGACATAATGAAATGATCTTTGCTGCCCCCTAGAGATTCTTCAAATAGTTTCAGCCCAGATTTGGCCATCTTAGGTTTAGTGCAGGGATAGGCAACCTTGGCTCTTTTATGACTCGTGGACTTCAACTCCCAAAAATTCATGAGCCAGCCATGCTGGCTCAGGAATTCTGGGAGTTGAAGTCCACAAGTCATAAAAGAGCCAAGGTTGCCTACCCCTAGTTTAGTTCAATATATGTTCCAGATTCCTGGGTTCAACATCACTACTAAATCAGTTGGAGAAATAATCTGGCATGGATTTAATCCCCTCTGGTTTTAAGCATCCCATAATTTGTTTTGTTTTTTTTTAAGTTTCCCTGATGTAGACTGGACCATCGTAAGCCAAGGTATGTTTCCTGGACTTCGCCAGCATCATTTGCAAACCACAGTTCATGCCTGAGCATATTGTGGTGTGTGAACCAAGATTCAAATCCACTCCTACCCATAGAAACTCATTAGGTGAATCTGGGTTCAATCTGTGATGGGTTGCTGTGGTGGGAATGATTTTAAAGTGGATTTTTTTTTCCCAAGGGCGTTGGCAGGAGGACAAAGAACAAAACGATGGCCACAACTTTGCAACCAAAGTCCCACTCCCTTCCTACATGCATCACAATCTTTGCAGAAAAAGATGGGCTTTGGTTGTTTGATTATGGAAGTCACCTTGATTTTTTGCCCCTTCCTGTGGGGATCTCTGCACAGGTAGTCCTTGACATACAGCCATTCATTTAGTGACAATTCCAAGTTGCATCAGCCCTGAAGAAAGTGACTTATGACCGGTTTTCACACTTATGACTGTTGTAGCATCCCATGGTCATGTTATCAAAATTCAGGCAATTGGCAACCGGCACATACTGTATTCATGACTATTGCAGTGTCTCGTGGGATCAATATTTGCATCATTCCCAGCACTTCCGATAAACAATGACTAGAGGGGTTTGCTTAATCACGATTCATTTAACAGCTGCAGTGATTTGCTTAACAACAGTGCCAAAAAGAGTTGTAAAGTGGGGCACAACTCACTTAACAAAGGCCCTCCTTAACAACAGAAATTTTGGGCTCCACTGTGTTTGTAGGCCAAGGGCTTCTTGTAATTTACCTTGAGCGTTGGAGTTCATGTAAATCTTATTCATAAATGCAGAAGTGTTGCATCATTTATTACACCACACATCACGATTTCTGCCAGCCCCTCATCTCGTCCTTCAGTGAAAGGGCAGGTTGTAGGTCTAATTATTTTGGCCCTTTCCGAAAGCCACATTGTTTGGGGCCTTCTCCGTTTCTGGAGTTCCTCCACTGTAATTCTGCTTTCTTTAGGACCATGTAGAAAATCGGAGGAGTGGTATTTGATCCCCTGCAGAGCATGAATAAACGGAGAAGTTATGCTTTGCACAACTAATGGTATGAATGTGAGAAACAGCGGAAAAAGGTTTGTTGGGGGAGGAAGAGCTGGATCAGGAGAGCGAAGGAGATGGGGGTGGGTGGGGAATTCAGATGGAGCTCTTTCAAACACAACCAGAGTGTGTAAGAGCTGGAGACAAAGGCAGGAAGACTTTTTAAACAAGAAAGCGTAAAAATCCAGGATTTTCCCCATCTGGGATGCAGTAGCAGCCAGCCGAACAAAATAAACTATATTCCGGTTTAAGACCATTCTCAGCATCTTCTTTTGGAGAATGCAAACAAAACTTCTAGAGAGTTAGGATTGGAGAATTTCAGAAGCTGGGGACAAAAACCATCCTAACAAGGTACCCTCCTTTTTTCGTTCCTCGTTCCATGCTGTTTTTTTTCTTGCTCCTTATCATAATCAGCCAGGAAGTGAGTTTCATCATTATTAGACTGGCTTCTTTTGTGGAAGTTGGGTTTTCCAAGAGTTTCTCTCCTCCCTCCTCTAAATATTAATAATTTTGCAACATAAATTGCTGTACCTTCTAATATTTTATGTTTTGGAATGTGCCTGGTCAAACTTTGTGTTTAAAAGGATAAATCTTGTAGATTTGAAGGCTGAAGGAGAGGGGTTCATTTGTATAGTGGCTCCTGCCCCCCCCCCCCCAGGAAGTTAAAGCTCTGGAGCAGTTGGGAGCAAAACAGGAACATCTTTGGGGAGGTGGGGTTGATCTGAAGCCCGCAACCAATGGTGGGTATCCTTACAAACTATATAAACATTGGAAAATCAGAAGGGTTCAAAAGTAGAGAGATATGGGGGGGCGGAGGGAGATGGAGAACGCTGGCACTTTATTTAAAGCCGAAACAGGGAAAATGTGGACGTGCATTCAAGATATAGACGAAGCTTCCTCCTGCAGTGTACTCCGACCAACGGTGGTAAGTTAAGAAGAAAAATTGCGGGTGTAGGGCTGCGGGTTCCTTACTCGAGCACTCACGTGCAGTTCCAAAACGGCGTGAGGATGTTATACGCGCGTGGAGATACGGCGGCTGGGGAAGCGGGGGGGGGGATGTACGCGCGTGTGGAAGCGGTTGCGTGCCAGGGGAGCGCCAGGCGGCGGCGGCGCGTCTCGCTTAGCGAAAGTGAGGAGGGAAGGTGGCGGAAGAAAGAGCGGGGGGGGGAGTCTGAGAAGTGGAGGGAGTCAGTCCTAAGGGGGGGGGGCGAGCCTGGAAGATAGAAACCGAGGGGTGGGTGGATGTCCGGGTTTCCTCCCGGCGGGGGAGGAAAGAAAGAAACAAAGCGAGGGGGCGTCTGGCGAGAAAGCGGGCGAGGTCGCCGGGGGCTGGGTTGGGTTGGGGGCGTTGCTCCGCCGCGGGGAGGCGAGGGGAGGGGGCGGAAGGCGCCTCCAGGATTGGGGAAGCAGCGAGCCGAGGCTGCCCGGGGATGGGGTGGGGGCTCGAGAGAAAACGAGGTAAGCTACAGCCCAGCCAGTCGCGGGTGGAAGTTGGGGAAGCCGGGGCGCAGAGCCGGAGAGGACAGCCAGCAGCTGCCTGCTCCGGCCTCGGCATGCGCTCGGCTGCCTCGTCCAGATGTGGGCAGGGGGCGAGGACTGTTCCCTACTCTCTATGCCTCTCCCCCTTCCTTTTACCCCAATGCGACGACCTTCCCTGCCCCAAGCTGAGGTTGGATTTCGCTTTCCCAGATCTGGTGCCGTGCAGATGTGAGGGTCTTGAAGCCCCCTCATATCTATTTGGCGAGGTTCATGGAATGAAGGCTCCATGCCCCCGAACCGGGTGGGCCGGTTGATTTAACCCGATGCCCAATTTGTAACGAAGCCACACGGGGCTTGGGAGAGGTTGGCTTGCGTGTTAATGCGGATTGCTAGGAACTCTTCCCTCCAACCCCATTAAAAGCCTCATCCTGAGAAAGGTGTTTTCCTTTTAAAATAAAACTGTTGGGGAAACTGTACACTAGGAGCGGCCAGTCTTTGCAACTTTTTGTGAATTTCAACTCCCCAAATTCCCCAAAAGTCTTAAAGTTGCTTGGACATTCTGGGAATTGAAGTTCACCAGTCTTAAAGTTGCTAAGGTTAGGAAACTTCTGCTGAACAATATGGGACTTTTTATTCTCAGGTAACATCTGCTCTGAATTCACTTCCACTCATGGCAATTTTATAAAGTGAAATTTTCTTACGAACAATCCCCAAAAGTGTCACTATTCTTTTACTGTATTTTTAGGATATTTTTAACTTCCAAGCCCAGAGTTGGATATAAGATGGGTGGCTATATAAATGTTTTAAATAAATGAAATGAAATAAAAAAATAGCCTGCAACTTTGAGATCTCCTCATGGTCTCCCATCCAATTAATAACCTAGTCTGATCCTATAGAGTGGATAGTCTTCGACTTACAACCAGTCATTTAGTGACTGTTCAAAATCACAATGGCAATTAAAAAATGCTTTACAATTGTCTTTCAACTTGCGACCTTTAAAGCAACCCATAGGATCGTGTGATCAAAATTTGGGCACTTGGTATGTATTTACAGGATATTTACAGTATCCACAGTCACTTGATTGTCATTTATGACCTTCCCAGCTGGCTTCTGGTAAGCAAAATCAATGGAAGAAAGAAAATTAACTTATTAGCTGCAGTGATTTGTTTAACAACTGTTGCAAAAAAAGGTAGAATTGGGCATGGCTGACTAAACAATTGCCGTGTATAGCAAGGAAATTCTAGCCCCAGTAGTGATAAGCCAAGGATTACCTGCAGTGAGCTTTTTGAGGTCAGCCAAGATCAGTCTAATGCAATAAACAGATAAAGAAGAGCAGAATAATCTGTCTGATTCCATTTGCATTCCTATAATCAATTCTTTTCCTTCCAAGAAGTGTTGTATTGTTTGCAGCATATATTGCATTTCAGCAGAATTAGATCAGGTCATGCTGACCTTCTGAGATTTCTTAACAGATCTCTTGAGAATTCTTAATGGCTGTCTTGGCTTAATATGTTAAATCATAAACCATGATTTGCAAGTGCTGTGGCTAAGCCAAAAGTAAGCAAATCACATGTCAGTGTGGTTATGAATTCAGCCATAAAGGAGTTTGCATGGTGTAACCTGCTGTAGGGATACAATCACTGTAGCTCATACAAACATAACTATTGTTTCTAATGGATATCCTTGCTTATCATTTCAATGTAACCATGAATGACAAGGGTCTATTTCTTTTTTTTCATACTGACCTAGATTGTATTAACACCTATTTCAAGCAAGTACAGGTAGTCCTCAGCTTTCTATCACAATGGAGCCCAAATTTTTTGTTGGTAAGTGAGGCATTTGTTAAGTGAGTTTTGCCCCATTTTACAACATTTCTTGCCACTGTTGCTAAGTAAATCACTGCAGTTGTTCAGTTAGTAACACGGTCGTTAAATGAAACTGGCTTTGTCAGTTTGCTTGTCAGAAGGTCCCAAAAGGGAATTGCACGGCCCCGAGTCACTGCAACCATCATAAATATGAGTCAGCTGCTCAAGAATCCAAATTTTGATCACATGACCCTGAGGATGTTGCAATGGTCGCAGGTGTGAAAAATGGGCATGTCACTTTTTTTCCATTGTTGTTGTAACTTCGAACAGTCACTAAGCAAACTGTTGTAAGCGGAGGACTACCTGCAGTTATGGACTAACAAGCTGCAAGTAGTCCTCAACTTACAACCAGAATTGGGACAAGAATTCCATCACTAAGTAATGCAGTTATTACTGTAAGTGAGTCATCATATGACCTTGCCCAATTTTACAACCTTTTCTGCCGCAATCATTAAGCAAATCCAGTTTCCCCTATTGATTCGGTTGCCAGGAGAGATGGATCATATGGACTCTGGGATCATGCAGTCGTCATAAATACATACAGGTGACCAAGCACTAGAATCACAATCACAAGATCATGCTGTGATGGTAATAAGTATGAAGACCATCACTTTTTTCAGCACTGTCATTAATTCAAACAGTTGAGACTCTAAAAAGAGTGCAGAGAAGAGCAACAAAGATGATTAGAGGTCTGGAGGTTAGACATATAAGGAATTGTTGCTGGAATTGGGTATGTCTAGTTTAAGGAAAAGGGGGGGGGGACATGATAGCAGTCTTCCAATATCTCAGGGGCTGCCACAGAGAAGAGGGAGTCAAGCTATTTTCCAAAGCACCTGAGGGCAGGACAAGAAGCAACGGATGGAAACTAATCAAGGAGAGAAGCAACCTAGAACTAAGGAGAAACTTCCTGACAGTTAGAACAATTAACCAGTGGAACAACCTGTCTCCAGAAGCCGTGAATGCTCCAACACTGGAAGTTTTAAAGAAGAGACTGGACAGCCATTTGTCTGAAATGGTATAGGGTTTCCTGCCTGAGCAGGGGGTTGGACTCGATGACCTCCAAGGTCCCTTCCAACTTTATTATTATTACTATTACTACTACTACTACTACTACTACTACTACTACTACTACTACTACTACTATTGTTGTTGCAAAACAAATGGTCACAAGTGGAGGACTATTTGTAGTTCATTGGTATTCATGGAGAAGACAAGGGGCAAGTGATACCGTCAGCCGTTGATGCAAATGCCACAACTGGTGTCATTTCTGCAGTGATGTCATGCATGAGATTGCCTTGGCTTGTGAATGGATGGTATTGAGTTACTGTGATAAAAGAAATATAATTAGTGCTTTAGTGTTTTTCAGCCTCAGCAACTTTAAGATGTCTGGATTTCGGTTCCCAGAATTTCTGCCTAGGGAACCTAAGCATTTAAAAATTTCTACAGTTGAGAAATGGTGCCTTACAGTATCTGGTGATAAAGGGGACAAAATTAATTGATTTATTTTTCATGTAACTAAGTCTCATACAAAACAATGAAATGCAACACGAAAGTCTGGTATAGCAATGCATTACATTCCAACATGAGATCACAACATAACATAAATTAAAATGAGTTGGGCCTTATGCTTTCCTGATATGTCTTCAGCCTCCTGGAACAAAATGAATTATGAATATTCGCATAACACATTAATCTAAGGATGCAAAAAGCATAAGTTATCAGGCTCCATGTGGCAGCCCTAAAGTGAGTGGGAACACTTGGAATACGGCATCCAGTTTTGGTCACCACGATGTAAAAAAGATGTTGAGACTCTGGAAAGAGTACAGAGAAGAGCAACAAAGATGATTAGGGGACTGGAGGCTAAAACATACGAAGAACGGTTGAAAAAATTGGGTATGTCTAGTTCAGTGATTCTCAACCTGTGGGTCGGGATCCCATTTGGGGTCGAACGACCATTTCATGGGGGTCGCCAAACAAGGCTGTCCGCCATTTTTCCCCCTTTTCTTT